TTTTTAAAAAAAGAATGTGGGACTTTAAAGAGCTTTACTGAGACGTGATTCACGCACAGCTCAGCCACATAAAGTGTACACCTCCGTGGTTTTTAAAAAAAGAATGTGGGACTTTAAAGAGCTTTACTGAGACGTGACTCCCGCACAGCTCAGCCACATAAAGTGTGCACCTCCGTGGTTTTTAGTATGTTCACAGAGTTGTGCAATCTATAACTTTGAAATACAAGTATTTTTCCTTCGCTGTTCTGCAGTTTAAATCACCTCCTGCAATCCAGAAGTGGGAATTCTTTGTGATTTTAAGTTATTTTCCAAACACGCAGGTTTGACAGGTAGCTCCTAGCATCTCCCTCTAGACACAGCTCTTGGTGAAGCATTAATTACAGGGTGCCGGGGCAGGGCAAGCTCTAAAACAGATTTTTTGCTGGTAGATCAGGCAGGGATGGGGTCATCTTCAAAGCTCTCAGGGTGCAGCCCACTGAATCCACTAAAATATTCCTTGGTGTCCATTGGGAGACTCCACCCTCCCCGGCTCATCCTCCAGCACCTTTTCATCAACGGGAGAAAATAACCTGGGTTTACATCAAAGCAGAGGGGCTCCAGGGCATTCTGGGAAACAGTGGCTTGTAGCCTGCTCTCCGTCAGAGGGCCTCAGATGCTTTCTCTACGTGGTCTTCTCCATCTTCCCCGAGGTCTTACCTGGCTGAAGACAGTCAGTACTTAATAGTCGTGGGCCTAGTGGGCCACGCTTGATCTAATGTCTGACGCCTAGGGAACAGTTAACACCCAACGGAACAAATGCAGACTCATCATGCCAGGGGTAGGAGTGGAAACAGCCTTTGTTTTAGGAGAAACCTGTTTCCACCACTGTACTCGAACTCCCTCCACTTTCACAAAAGTGGTTTTTGTAAAGGCCCAAAATTGCGTGTGTCCATCTCAGAGGCCCCTCAATGCTCATTTGTGTTTAGGGTCCTTAAGAGAAACTGTCGTGTGCTTCTTCAGAGGCCCACCTAAGTGTCTCAGAGAAAATGAGATGAAAATTGTACTCCTGTAAAGGAGCTCTGGATCAGAGGTGATTATCCCTCAAAATTTAGGCTTCTGAGCAGTTTGTAATATTCACCTCAAGGTCCAGAAGCGAAGGCATGTCCTTGGAGGTGTGCCTACTCGCACTTACTGTGGAGCGCAGTCCCACAGAGGCTGAATAGCACTTGGATGTTGGCTGGACCGCGTCTAAAAATAGAACCCTGGGACTTCCCTGGCAGTCCAGTGGTTAGGACTCTGTGCTTTCCCTGCCGAGGGCGTGGGTTCAATCCCTGGTCGGGGAACTAAGATCCCACAAGCCCCGTGATGCAGCCCAGGGGAAAAAAAAAAAAAGAACTCTGACCTGCCCGGGACCCACCCCGTTACGTACAATAAACAGCTCTCAGAGCCACGCAGGAAGGCCAACGGTTATCTCCAATAACCACTGAGGAGGCTGCACAATGACTGCTCTAACAGTTAGCCCCAGGTGGCCAGGACCTAATCAGTAACTGACAGCATCTCTTAACTTTTGTCCCCTACTCGCTTCCTACCCCCGCCAATCACACGGTCGCCCCACCTCCCGTGTCCCCAGGCCGCGGCCTCCCATCAGGGTCTCCCATCAGGACCTCTGCAGAGCTCCCTGGCTCATCTGCCTGCCTTTCAGCCTCCGCCAAATGTGAGGGACGGAAGCTGCCTCCCGTTTGCTGTAGCTCAAAATAAACTGCCTTTGCTTTTCTTAATAAAAAAAAAAAAAATTGACAGGGTGCCCGGGCTGGCGGCGCGGGGTCTGCAGGGCAAGCTGATTCCAATCCTGCCTCTCCGCCAGCTCCTGTGACGTGCCTAAGTCCTTTCCTCGCTTTGGGCCTCAGTCTCCCCGTCTAGACAGTGAGGGGGTCAGACGTGCTTCTCTGTAGACCCTTCCCCTGTGATGTCCTGTGATTACAAGAGCCCAGGGCCGCGCTCCCCACGGGAGAGAAGAGTTTCCCTAAATTCCTGCGTGTCTTCCCTTATTTTGCTCCGTGCTCTTGGCGGCCAGCCCCGGGAGGTGGGCGGGACAGCCATGGTCGCCCCATTCTGCAGCTGGAGAAGCTGAGGCTCGGTGCCCCAGCAGGCAAGGCCGGGGCCTCCCCGGCAGCATCGTCCCAGTGCCTCTCTGCACAGGCCCTGCCGGAGGCCAGCTCCCTCTCCCGGCCCGGCCACTGGACCTCCCCGAACCGCTCTGTCCTCGCCTGCAAGATGTGACATGACCTCCGACCCGCAGGGTTGCTGCAAATCCTGGATGAGGCCGCGTGTGGACGGCCAAGCCCGTGCCCGGGTGGCCAGCTGCGAGTCACCAAGTTTAGGCGTTCATCAGGGCCACCTCGGGGTCAGCTACGGCCCTGTGCCACCCAGGAGCATTTGGACCCCTTGGCTGTGAGATGGGGACAAGAGAGCCCACGGGAACACGGGGAGAAACGAGGTGACGGGGCCCATGCACTTGACACTGCGCCTGACCTGCGCAGGAGCCTGAAAAGTGGTGGCTGCCATGAGGACTGACCCAGCTGCTGCCTGAAAGACAGCCCGTCTGAAACTGCAGCCGCGGCAGGTGACGAGAGGAGCGCCGGCACCACGGGAGCGGGCAGGCCCCAAGGACCCTCTGGTCTGTGCGCCTCCTGGGGGTACTGACTGAGTGGCTGAGGTCAGGGAGGGGTGTGGCAGCTCTCTGCCCACCGGGCCTCTGCCTCCTGTTTTATTGGATTTGTTGGGCTCTGATGTCACCTACGCACTGTGGCTGAGCTGGGAGACACTAAGAAGCCTAAAGAAAACAAAAAGCGCCCGTGGCCCCAGCACACAGAGCTGCCGCCTGCCGCTGACCACACCGTGGGTGTCCCGGGGGCTGAGTAGAGTCCTGCCAAGCCCCCAGGACCCAGTAGGTCGGTACCTGCGTGGCGGGGGTTCTGGTCCAAGGCCCAGCAGTCGCCCAGGCAGACCCAGCCTGAGCAGGACGATGGTGGGGGGGAAGGCTGAGGCCAGGCGCAGGCCCCCAGTGCCGGTGGCACTCTGGACCACCTTGGGGTCAGCTGCCTCCTTGTGTGACCTTCTTATCCAGGAGGGAAGCCCAGTCCAGCCCTGACCTCCAGGCCACTCACCTGGCCTTCATGGGAAAATCTCCTGAATGCTGCCCCACCCAGAGACGCCAATGCCACGCCAGGCCATGCTCAGTGCGGAGGGAGCGAGAGGTGCCCTGGGGCAGAGGGGCCCCAGCTGGCCCACAGGGCAGTCCAGACACTTCCCCGCACGCCCTCCACCGCCGGCCTTTCAACCAGCCCCTCGCTCACCCAGGCCGGCGGCCCCCAGGCCTCCCAGGGGTGCTAGGCAGACACCTGTGGTGGGCGCAGCCTACAAGGGACTCTCCGGCACCATGTCACAGATGGGAAAACTGAGGCCCAGCCTCCCAGGGTTCCTGGACCCTCCCAACATAGATTGCCTCCCGCCGTCACAGCCCAGGCAGGGTCTCCCAGCGAGCACACAAAACACCTGTGCTCGGGAGATGCAGAGCGCTCCTCGCTGGGCAGGCACTCCACCCTGGGCCTCAGTGTTCTGGCCTGTGGATGGGGCCGCCAGGCCTGCCTCGCAGGGAAGCTGCCCCCATTCACCCCACAGTGACTGGCTGGGTCGACTCTCGGGCTGGCTGCCTCACTCCTGGGTGGGGCCCCCGAGGCCATGGGTCCAGAGGCGAGGACTGTCATCAGGCCCGTGCCCGCCGAGGCTCTGGTGCTCACGAGGCCCCTTCCCGCCCAAGTGCCACCTGGAGCTACCCGTGGCCCTCGAGGCAGGCAGGGCGGGGGCATCGTCTGCTTCTGCCCAGAGAGGGAGCGGGGCCGCCTGGTGCCACCTGGTACGTGCCCAACTTGGGAAGGCCTAGAGTCAGACTCCGGAGGAAGACCTAGCCGCCTCACTCACCAGACACGCGGGCGCAGGGGGAGGCACTGTCTCTGGCATCCCTGTCCGTCCCTCTTACAGAGAATGTGGAGGAGGGGGGCGGGGCATGGGGAAGAGTAGGCGCTGGCCTTAGTGCGACCTCGCAGGCGGACCGTTCCCCGGGACACGTGGGGAAACCGAGGCACAGGGGGCTGGAAGACACTTGTCTAGGATCACCAGTTGGTGAGTGGCAAAGCCAGGAAGCAAACACAGGTGTGCCGGCTGCAGCCTGCCTGGCAAGGGCCCCTCAGGAAGGGGCAGAGCTGCCCCAGCCCCTGGGTCTCACTCACTCTGCTCTCTCTCTCCCAGGGCCAGCGGTTCCACCACTACCAAGTCCCTAGGGATAAAGATGCCTTCCCGCAGCCGTCGAGGACCCTGGGACCCCCGCGGTACCGCCCCGCCGCCAATGGCGCCCAGAGCTCCGGCAGGAAAGTGGGCCCGGCTGTGGCAGCTCCCCAGCACTGGCAGGCCAAGGGTGGCCCAGGGCCCTGTGAGCTGCCGGATCCTGGGACCCCAAGACTGGCCCGAAACGCCAGCCCCCAGGCCGACGGCAGGGCCGCCGAGGAGCATTCCAGCCCCCTCGGAATCCCGTACTCCAAACTGTCCCAGTTGAAGCACCTGAAGGCCAAGATGGGTGGCGGCCAGTGGGCTTCATCCGACTCTAAACGGCAGGCCCAGGCCCCCCGGGACTGCGAGGACCCCTAACACCTTGTGCCCGGGCCTGAAGCCACGCCATCCACGGCTTCCACCCCAGCCCGGGCTCACCGTGCAGGTGTTCCCTGGCCACCCTGACCTCCAGAGCCACCCTGGAATGCAGGAAGGTAGGGAGGGCGGTGACCTCACCTGGTCGGTGCACCAGTACCAGGTGGCCATGACGGTCAGGCCGAAGGTCATCCCGGTCCACGGGAGGTCCCCTGTGTAGGGGTCTCGGAACATGTGCATGGCGTCTGCCCGCGGCATGTGGCAGGTGGTGTTGGAGATGATCCTGGATGGGACGGCCCGGGCGTAGGCCGACGCCAGCTGATCATACCCGCCGATCTGCTCAAAAGCTGGAGGGGGCGGGCGCGACAGGCACGGTTGGTGGCTGGTGGCCGTGACTCCCAGCCCCACTGCCCTCATCTCACGAGTAACTTCTTGATGCATCAAACTCAACTTTTTCCCACTTCACCTTTTCCAGTGTCTGGAAAGGTATGGAGGTAGAGGGTTTTAAAAAAGGTGAATTCAAAGGACTATTTTATTTGTATTTAAAATGATAATATTAAATGAGCATTCCACACGAGGGCACCCCAGTGTCCTGCCGGCCTCTGGATGCCCACCAGCCTCAGTCGAGGAGCTCTCTGCCAGGCTGTCGACCCAAGGAAGCAAACGTGTCTTTTCTTGGCGTTCGAGGACCTTCCTGAGGAATCTGAAGGGCTAACGTTCTGACCCAGGGGCTTCCAAAGGACATGACTTCGGCAGAGCTGAGTATGGCTGGGGGATGTGGCACTGAGAAGGGACACAGAGTCCCCAGAGGGGCAGGGGCGCCACCAAGGTTACACCGCCAGCCGGCCGGCACAAGCCAACCACGTTCACCCCCTCACTGCTCCTGTCTGCTTCGGGGTCTGGGCCCACCTGTGGCTTTTGCTTTGTCTGTGGTCACTCCCCCGCCCCGATCCAGGCCAGGCCTGGCTGCCTGGGGCCTCTCCCGCAGTGGGCTCCGGGTACACAGGCCCCTGGTCTGTGAGGAGGCTGGGCAGCCACAGGTCCCACTCCCCCGCCTTCCCCAGCAGGCGGCCCGCTGCCCGGACTCTGGGCTCCCGGCATCAGTGCCACCTGTAGCCCAGGCCAGGCCAGGGTGAGCGCTCAGAGAGAACGGACGAACACTAGACACGGGTCGGAAACTGCCCAGCCACAGGGTCCTAGAGTCTGAGTCTGGAAGAGACCGTTTGCTCTCCGTGGGATCCTCCTGGCTCTGCTTGCATACTTCCCGGGATGGGGATCTCACTACCTCTGGGGCAGCCCCCACCCCGAGCTTCCTCCCTGTTCCCAGACCAGGAGATCCAAACCCCCCTTCTCTCCGCCTTGCCTTTGTCCCGCTGGCTTCTTGAGATCTTGGACATGCTTTGAAACAATGGGGGCAGATGTCCAGGCAGGTCTGTGGTCACCCACCCGCAGCCCTGCTCCCATTGAGCCCCGAGCCCGCGTGGGTGCGGACAGCCCTGCCTCCTGAGTCAGGTCCGCAGCCAGATGCCATACGGCCTGGAGCTGGTGACAGAAGTGCTGCTGGGCAGCAGGGGTGGGAGGGGAGCAGGCCTCCGTCACCCAGGGGAGGCCGGTGGGGGGCTGACTGCCTCGTGGCTTGACCTCGTGAGGCCACCCACCCCTAGTGCGGACACCGGGGCCCTGACAGGGCGGCACCCAGACCCCAAAGGGCTCGCTGCTGTGACAGCCCCCATGGCCTCTCACCTTTGACCGTCAAGATCACGGCTCCCACCACCATGATGAGCGTTTGCAGGGCATCTGTGTAGATCACAGCGGCCAGGCCCCCTGTGGGTGGAGACGAGAGAGCTGGAGGGGCCCTGGCCTCGACGGGGGAGGGAAAGGGAGGTGAGCAGAGCTCCGGGAGGGATAGCTGTTCCACATCGACGTCCCCTGCCCTTGCACGGGTGGGTGAGCTGTGGACGCCGCAGCCAGGCCAGCGGAGCCAGCTGCAGAAGCCCAGGTGCCTGACACGAACTGGCCAGGTCCCAGGCTGTGGGAGGGGGCGGCCCCCTGCCCCCCACCAACCGCTCGGGTTCCCGTGCGTGTCCACAGGCCACACCTGCCACCCGCAGGCGCCATACCTGCGATGGTGTACAGGGCCGTGACGGCGAGCATGAGGATGGTGGACAGGTAGAAGTTCCAGCCCAGGCAGATGTGCACGAAGAGGGCCCCCGCGTACAGGTCGATCTGGGGACGGGAAAGGGGTGTGTGCAGGGGCCCGAGGTAACCACAGGACCCGGAGCGCCACACACCCGACGTGTGGCCTTGATGCCCCGTAGAGGAAGAAGGGGAGACCCCCCCCCACCTTCCAGGGACTGTTCTGAAGGGGAGGAAGTCCTGGCTGTGGACAAGCAGTGTGCAGGGGACGTTGCTGATGTTAATAAAGTCCTGAGTGGCCTCTGCCCACCAGGGAGCGGTGTTGCTGTTCAGTCTGGCCCCTGCCTGGGGATGGAAAAGGGAGTCCGGGAGGGCTTCCTGGAGGTGGGGGGTCCAAGAAGACGAGTGAGCCTCCACCTCCAGACCCACGTCTGTCTGGGTCCCTGTGTCCCTGTTCTCTGCTCCCTGTTAAGCAGGGCACCCCAAGAAGAAACCAGATATGTGCCAGGGGTGGGCTGGGGGAACAGAGGGGCCGTCTTGCTTATTGACCCACCATGGGGTTGACACTGAAGCCAGGACCACGGCTCAGGCCGAGGCTGCTTCCTAGGGCAGAACTGGACACAGTCCTGCCATCCCAGGCCCTGGGGCAGCACAGAGGCAAGAGTTGAAGCCCTGGGGGGAGTCTTCTAGCCTCAGCACTGGAATGGGCCTTACGGACCACAACTGCCCGCCCCTCCCCACTGCGCAGTGGGTGCCCAGGGAAGGAGGGAGGACCCGATCCTGCGGGACCTAGGGCTGTGCCAGGGTCCCTCCCCGCCGCAAGTTTCCGAAACTGCCATTCTGGGCTTGCTTAATGGCAGGGAGATAACCCAAAATACAGCCTTTGGGGCCAAGAGGCTCCTCAGAGAGCTGGGCAAACCCGCGGGTTAGCTGAGCTTGCCGAGTGGGGGACAGTCTGCCTGAGGCCTGGGGCACCGGCCGAGCTAGGAGCTGCAGCCCCGCTCGGAGTCAGGCTTGTGGAACCCCTGCTTCCCCCAGGCTCCTCCCCTCCCCTCTCCTGGAGAGGGCAGCTGCCAACGTGGGCACTCAGACAAGGTGTTCTCGGGAGTCGGCGGCCCCTCACCCCCCGGCTGCGAGTCTGTGTGTCCACCTCCAGCCCAAGCTCAGAAGCCCAGAGCTGCTGGATATCAGAGCAGGAAGGACTCTCCAAGCCCCCTGCCCCGTCAGACCAGGGACAAACTGAGGCCCATGGAGGGCAAGCGGCCTCTTCAAGGCGAGGCTCTGGCAGGTATCAGAGATGGAGGGGACCGGCGACGGAGCAGGGGGGCTCTAGAAAGTAGCAGCCCCTCCTCCCACCTGGCTGTCCTCCAGCCACTGCTCAAGACCACTCCCTGGACCCCATCTGCCTCAGAGGACAGCCCTGGCCTGTGCGCCCAGCCTCCAGGCTCTGGCCACGCATCCCTTTAAGCCCAGGTAAGTCTGGTCACGCCGACATTCCACGCCAGGCACTTTGCTGCCTCCAGGCCTTGGCCCGCCCAAGTCCCTCTGCCCTGGGACCTCCCATCTCTGCATCTCATCGCTCAGGACTCAGCCTGCCCCGACGCCCTGCTCCCCGACTGCTCTACTGCTCAGCGACTTCCTTCCAGGGCAGCAGATCTGAAGAGTGATGCACGGGCAGCGGGAACAGCACAGGCACAGGTGTGGAGGTGGGACTTTAGCCGCCATCCCCCTGGGGACCCTACGCAGCTGCCGCTGGAGGCCAGCAAATGTGCGGTTGCCTGCCGGCTCTGAAGGAGACCCCGCGAGGAGGCTCAGACGACCTCCGGGCAGATCTGACCTCTCCTTCTGCCGACGGAGCTCCCTCTCCTGGGGCCCCAGCTGAGCTGCAGCCTGCTAGAAGCTAAGAGCCCCGCTCGGACCTGGGTCTGTGTCCCTGGTGAGCACGTCGCCTCACCTCCTGAGCCTCTGGGTAAAGTGTGAGTGCAGATGTGGAGAAACACAGGCACTTGTGCTCGGCCCCCTCTGGCCCTTCTGGCCTCTGCAGGCCCTGCGCAGGGCAGGCCGCGGAGGCGCAGGTGGGACCCCTGAGGGAGCCGCTCCACTCCACAGAGCGGGGCACGGGCGCAGAGGCACGAAGCAACTGGCCCAAAGCTGCACGGTTGTGAGCAGGGCTGCGGGCTTTAGGGATGACCCTCGGGGCCCCTGAGAGGGTTGACCCCCCCTTCCTGCACCATCCCACGGGCTTGCAGGGGCCATGAGCCCCGGACATGGGAGGGAGCTGGGCTGAGCTGACCTGCAGGCTAGGGCTGATCCGCTGGCTCGTCACAGCTTCTCAGCACCCCGAGTTCCCCACAGGCACGTGCCCCCTGGCTGGGCCCTGCCCTGTCCTGGCCACCTTCCTGCATGGGACCCTACTGCCCCCTCCCTTTGTGGGTAGCAGAGAAGCTGGGCAGGTCCCTGCACCAACATTTACCACGAGTTTACCCTAAATCATCCTGTGTCCCCGACCCCCAACCTCGCCCATCTCCACAGAGGCCGTCACTGTCCCTTCAGTGTTCTGGACACGTCTCACCTTTGCCACACTCCCTGCACCCAACCCATTGGCCACGGCTGTTGATTCCCAAAGTACTCCTGCCCGCCTCCACTGTCCCCACCCTGGGCCCCATCCCTTTGGAATCCCCTCGCTGGCCCCTCCTGCACTCGGCTTGTTCAGAGGGCGCGCCGAGGTCTCTGCATCTCCACTCACGCAGAATGAAACCCACCTCCCGGCCCAGAGGCCCTGCACGCACCCTCTCCCCAGCCCCATCGGCTTCCCTCAGCGGCTGGACCACTGTCTCCAAAGCAAGCCTGTCCCTTGCTCCTTCTCTTCCGTCCAGATTTCAGCCCTGCATTTGCTGCATTGATCACCCTTGTACCACTCAGTGTGGATGCACTGCTCTGTTGACTTATCTCATCTGCCTGGAAGGAAAGGTCCTTGAGAACGAGAAATGGGTTCATCATGGGTGCCCACCCAGGGCCTGGCACACAGTAGGTGCTCAATAAACAGGCACGTTTGCATAGACCAGGGGCTGGCACACTACAGCCCACAGGCTTGATCCCATCAGGCGCACTGGTGTGTCTTTCAAACGCCAACAGCAAACTTGAGTGGTGTGTAAGTGGCATGCAAAACTGAGCATACTTTCTATCTGGCCCCTCACGGAAAACCCAGCCAAGCCTGACATAGATGATTCCATTCAGTCCCATGAGGTGTGCTGGGCACCTAGTACCACTGGGGATACACCAATGAACAGAGAAAAAATGGGAGAGGCAGACTGTGGCCATTCTAATGAAATCATTCGGCGTAAGAAGGTAGCACGTGTGTGAAAGACAGGGGGCGCAGGTCTGCACCTGCGGGGCAGCCGAGGGCCTCGCTGAGAGGGTGAGCTGTGAAAGACCTGAGAGGCAGGGGCGTGAGCCACATGGATATCCAGGGGAAGAGGTTCCAGCCAGAGGGCACAGCAGGTGCAAAGGCCCTGTGGCAGGGTCATGCCTCGGGTGTGCTCGGTGTAGCTGGAGTGATGTTTGCGTCGGGAGAAGCAGGAGAGGTGAGGGTCTTGCTGGCCATGGTTGGCCTTTACCCTGAGTGGCCTGGGGTGGCAGGCCGGGTTTCTCTATTTCCCAGAGCACACGGTGATGGAGCTCGGTTCCCCCCAAGCCCGTGTGAGGCCCCCTGCCACCCATGGCTTGCTCTCTCTGCAGACCACTGTCCCCACATGGGGGCTGGCAGCAGGCGGGCCCTGTGGTCTCTGGACAGGCTGCAGCTGGTGAGGGTCCTGGGCATGCAGACATGTGGGGGCGTTCTTGGGGCTCCACCCAGTGAGGTCAGGGCCTCTGGGGGCCGGCTGGGCACACACACTGCAAACAGCTTCAGCCCAAAACATGAGCTGGGGGGCCCCAGTCCCTCCCAGACCCAGCCCGGCAATCCGCATTCCTCCTGCTTCCCTGTCCACTTCATCCAGGCAGCCCCAGCCTTGAGGTTCCCCACTTTATAGGTGGGCAAACTGAGTCATCCCATCACAAAGTGGAGTCTGAAGTGCCACGTCCTGGCTCCTTCAGTACCACACGGCAGTGGTCGGGCCCACTGGGCTCTAACGGTTGTCTCTGCCCGATTCAGCAAGTGGTGACCTTGAGCAGGTGGTGGCCACTCCCTAGGTCTCAATCGTCTTGTCTGTAAACAGGGCTGCACACGAGGTGGCCTCTAAGCATTCCCCCACTTTGGCCCCCAACCCCGACATTCTGGACGTCCTGCCCAAGCTATGAGTGTGAGGTGTGAGCTCTGCCTCAGAGCCACCAGTAGGACGAACAGGGGGGTGGGCAGAGAAGAAACCCCTTCGACCAGGGGTTGGCCTCACCAGACTGCCCCCGGCCCCCCGCCTCTCGCCCCTGTCCCCTCCAGTCCATCCTCTGGGGGTGCCGGTGGCACTAACACAGACCTGACCGTGTCACCTCTGCTCAAAGCCTCCAGGGCCCCTTGGACACTCCTCACTCATCTCTGACGGAGCCCCCTGGGCCAGGGCGGGAACTGCCACCCAAGAGCCAGCTGCGGCCCTCAGGTCTGGCTCGTGTGATGGCTGGTCCGCCTCAGCTGCCACCGCTCCCGGTCACCTCCCTCCCAGCTCCTCCTCTGCTCCCGAGGCGCCTGACCCCTGCAGTCTGGGCCTCCGGACGGGACCACCCCAGACGCGCCCTACGCCCTGCACCTCTCTCCTTGGCGTTTGCACCCCCCATGCCATGCGTACCCCCTTCTCCACTAGACCCCAACCAACGCAACCCCAGCAGGCACCGCCAACCCCTCTTCTGGGTCCGCACTGTCCCCCCCGCCCACCGTGACACACCTGCGTCCCCCTGTACTGAGGCCCTGCTGCCAGGGAGGCGGCCGGCACGGGGGCGGAGGGGGGGGGCGGGGGCGGGAGGGGAGGAGCCCGCGTGGGAACTGGGCCTGGAGAGCAGCGGCGCCGTCCTGGTCGGTAGAGGGAAGCCCCAGGGGAGAACTCTTAGGATCTGTCCAGGGAAGAAGGCGGCGCCTGCTCTCTAAACACCCCGAAACCCACCCAGAAGGAGACGTGCAGACGTGCAGCTCCGGTGAAGGCCCGGCCGGCCGAGGCTCCCGGGGCTGCAGGGGCCGCGGAGAAGGAAGCCCCGGCCACGCCCTCAGAAGCGCCAGGCCTCACGCGGGAGGAAGCAGGCTCGGGGCTGGGCGGGCTCGCTCGGCCGGAAGCAGGCCGCGCAGGACCCGCCGTCCACCTCTGAGCCCTCGCAGGGGCCGGAGCTGGAGCGGCTGGACGGCCTCAGGGGACCGGCAGGCACCGAGGACTCGGGAGGGAGAACCCGAGGCCTGGTGCTGCCGCGGAGTTCTCGCGCGCCGGGGACCAGCTCCCCGCCCTCCCGCCCTCCGTCTCCCTACCTGTGAAACCCAGGGTGTGGACAGGACGCGCCCCACGCTGGCCCTCCAGCGGGGCCAGGCCAGGCCCGCAAGGGAAAGGGGGCGCCGCGGGGTCAGCCTAGCGGAGGACTGACAACCAAACGGCATCACGGGCCAGAGACCTCGGGCTCTGGGCGCCCCCTAGTGGGCGGTCCCGGCTCACCCGGTGCCGGCCCTTAACCGTAACCCCTGACACCCCGCATCCAGAACCTGGGCAAAGCAGGAGTCACGCGGCCTGCGTTCTGACCCCAAATTCGCCGGCTGCTGAGCCCAGCCCCAGGGTGCTGGGCCAGCTGTGTGACCCTGGGCGAGTCAGTGTGCCTCTCTGGGCCTCAGTTTCCCCAGCTGTTAGACAAGGCTGAGACGGATCAAGGGATGTCGGGTCCCTTCGAGGACCCCAGAGCAGGGATGTTCCAGCCAGAAGCCGGGGGTGGGGCAGCTCACCGATATCTTGGTGAAGACAGACAGCAGCAGCGACAGGACAGACAAGTACATGCGTATCCGTTGGCCTCCATAGCGCTTCTGGATGTATTCAGGCATGGTGACAATCTGGCGGGGTCATGGGGGCAGGGGTTAAGCGTGCTGCGAGACCACAGCCCATGTTCAGGACCGGGAGCTTCTCACACTCCCAATGCCAGGCCTGGAATTCCAGGCTAAGCGCTCTGATCGCATCCTGAGGGGCTGAGGCCTGGGTGTGGCAGGCTGAGACAGGAGGAATGGATTCGGGGGACTGTGCCTGGGGGCACAAGGATGAGTTTGGAGGCCGTGGTGACAAATCCAGTGAGCTTCGGCTGGTTGGGGAAGCTGGCTGTGCCAGACTGAGACAACCAGGAAAGGGGATCCCCTGGACTTAGTGACAGCCCAGCTGGGGCTGAAGGAGTGGTGGAGTCAAGGACAGTGTCCCCTGGGTGTGCCACCCAGGTGTGCAGCCCAGGTGTGCAGCCTGTGTGCTCGGGGAGATGCATCATCCCCCAGATAAAACACGCAGGTACAGTAGAAACCAACGGACAAGGCCCATGGGCTGAGGTCCGAGGGGACCCGTCTTCGTGGGCTGATGGAAATGTTAGCTGGACTAACAACAAACCCAGAACTGAGAGTTGTGGCTTCACTCACCTTGTGAGTGAAGCCAGGGGTCCTGCCCATCACCACCACCCACTCCAACCAAGGCCCGGACGCAGGCGAGGCTGTCCTGAGGCCCCAGGAGCAGACTCACCTCCGAAGAGATGTAGATGGGCACGAACACCCACGCCAGGGCCAGCAGCACGTACGTGGCCTGAGGGGGACAGAGGCAGAGTAAGGACAGCAGATACCAGGGGTCTGGAGGCCTGAGTTGCCATGAGAACCTGGGGCGGCCCCGCCCCCGCAGCCCTATAAACAGACGGCCAGGCAAAGGCTCACGGCTTCCCGCGGCTCTTCAGCATTCTGAAGACCCAGCTTCCCCAGGAGCGCCGCCTGCCTGGACGCTGGCCACCCCGGTTGCTGGGAGCTGCCCCTCTGGCCACGGAGGGGTAGGCTCTGATGCAGCCCCATCCAGCGTCTCTTAAGGTTGCTGTGCTTCCTCCCACGGCCCCACACAGCCTGGGCCCGCCTTCCAGGAGCTCACATGCCACTCGAAGCCTGCCACCGCCAGGCCTCCAGCTGCGCCCGAACCCGCCAGCCCGATGAAGAGGCCCGAGCCCTCGCTGCTGGCAAACAGGGAGGCTCCCATCTGGAGGAGAGAGAGGAAAAGGATCTAGCAAGAGGCCCACCCCGACTCCGAGCCCCACCCTTGCCACGTTTTCCAGCACCCCAGCTTGGGGACCCCCTGCCTGTCTCAGCCTGCCCCATCACTGCCTGCTTGGGCTGGCCTGGGGGGTGACATTGGGTGAGGAGGACACACATAGTGACCGCAGGGATGCAGATGAGGGCTGACCTAGAGGTCAGATGCGGCCCCACCGGAAGGAGGGGCGGGAGGAGACAGGGTGTACTCACCGGCCCCCATGTCATGTCCCGGCCCGCCAGGAAGTAGCCGCTCACCGTGTTCCTGCTGGCCCAGCATGAGGACTGCAAGGACAGAGGTGGAAACTGGAGCCCTCGCGTGGCTCGCGCCGCTGCTGTGGAAACAGTCCGCTGGCTCCCCAAAGACTTAAGACACACAGATTATCCCGGGACCCAGCAGATCCACTCCCAGGATACAGAGAACTGGAAACAGGTGCTCGAGCAAAACCTATACTCGAATGTTCACAGCGGTGTTATTCACAACAGCCAAAGGGTGGAAACAGCCCCAGTGCTCACCAGCTGATGGCGTTAGGAGTAGACAGGAGGAGGCCCTCCCCTCTGTGCAGGGTCCCGGGGTTCACTGCGCAAGTCCCTGTCCCCTGAAGCCCCGGGGTTCACCTGTAAACGGGGCTGGCCTTTGGCCCGGGGCTGTGGGAGAGTTAGGGTGATGTGCACAGTGCCTGCATAGAAGGGGCCCCGCTGCTGCCTGTGATGACCAAAATCGCTTCTCTCCTATCAAAGCTGGGAGAAACTGGCTTATGAACTAGGCTAGGCTGGTGGACACGGAGTTGTCAAAACAGAGACTCCCAGGTCCTGCGCGTCCCTCCCCGCCTCTGGATTCTGGCCCAGCTGGTTTGGTGCAGCTGAGAACCCCTGTGATTCTATCGTTCAGGGCGATGTTCGCCCAGTGAGTCCATCTGACATCGGAGGCGAGGCCAGGAAGACGGCGTGCTGTGCCCGGGCCCCCAGCGTGTCAGCCGCATAGAAGGCCCCGAGCCTCGCACTCGGCCTGCCCTTAGAGAGGCTTCCTATTCCTCACTTTAGAGACTGAGAAGCTGCTGCCACAGAGTGAAAGGGGCTCCGTCAAGGTCTCCGACAAATCTCCCCCGGGGCTGGGAGGAGGACCCCGCAGGCACCAGGCCTCCAGGGAGAGGATGCAATGCCCAGGGACGTGCCAGCCGGTTCCCGCACCCCACTGCCCACCCCAGCTGGTACCACCACCGTCCTCTCACCCATATGCCCACGGCCACGTTCAGGGCAAAATACACGGTTATGATGGTGATGTCGACCACGCTCAGCTGCGGCCCGGGGGCGTGGGGACCGCTGGTAGAGTTGTCTGCAGCCATCCTGCAGCGGGGCCAGCTCGAGCAGGAGGGACTGAGGCCAGACCAGGGCAGAAAGGGCTTCCCGGCAGGAAATAAATTGATGATTAAACCGAGCCGACGGTGCCATCTCCTGCCCACGGTGTGGCCGCGTGCAGGGAAGCTGCTTCAAAGTGCAGCTACATCTCCTCCACCCCCAGTGGGGATCGAGGGAGTGGGGAGCACTCGGGGGAGGCTTGGGAAAAGTAAAGGGAGCCTAGTGGATCCAGAGGCAACCAGAATCGTCCCAGAAAGGGGTCGTTACTGAATGGGTGGCTGAACCTGTATGTAATTCGGATAAGAAGCACGGAGGGTTGGGGACAGATGCCCCACTTCTGGGTACACTGCCATGATGGCAGCCACATCCTCCTGCACCCAGCAGGCCGTGAGTGGACTGAGAGGGTCCTGGGATAGTGACTTGCGTCACACGGTTCACTTCCAGCCACGGCAGTCCTGGTCCTAGAACACCCTTCGCTGGACAATAAAGGCCTGCCACCAAACTTCCTGCTCCCTTTTCTAGACCAGTGATCAGGCCAAACCATCCCATCCTGACCATCCCCTTGGGTCCCCAGGGTCTCCCAGGACCACAGATACTGGGTCCTAGTATCCAGCAAGCGTCTGCCAGGGGCTGAGAGCCACCATGCTTAGCTCTTCTGCACACTGTCCCCTTTTGCGCTCAGAGTAGGTGGTACGGGTCACAGTCAAGGGACGAAGGCAGGAGGCTGGCCACCTGTCCCTGCACGACCACTTGAGGGCCAGAGCTGGGCTTCAGCTCCACATCTGACCCCAGATGCTCCCTGTTGGTGGCAATGATGTCTCTGGTTCCACTGGGTCCTTCCTGCTCAGATTGCTCACTAATTAAATCAGTGTGTACAGCCGGGTGGGTCTCAGTGTGTGACATTTGGAGTTTAACCAGGACACGCAGCCCCTCCACAAGTGTTAATGAGTGAACGGCTGGCACTGGGAACACACTGGCCTGCAAAACCAACTGTGCCTGTTACTCGGTAACCGAGGCAGAGGGTTTAAAGATTAATCCCCTCACACGCGGGACTAGACAGGGAAGAAAAAGTAAGTCACTGCTTAAAGTCAGGCAGGCTCAGACCGCCCCTCCCCAACTACCCTCACCTTCAACAAACTAGCCTCTCAGGTGGTTTTACTTCCCAAGCCATCGCTAGAAATGTATCGTGAATCAGAAGATCACTGTACTGGTCAGAAGGACACAACGGGATATAACGTCCAGATTTATGAAACTGGTCTCCTAAAGAGGCAGTAGCTGAAAGAACAGTATTTGGTCCCCACTCCACAGCCTCGGTCTCGGAAGGAAATAAACCACTTAGAGACAACACTGCCACCCACTCCACCTTCTGATCAAAAGGCCTGGGGAAAGGAGGCCAAGAAGAGCTGATGGATGGGGACAGCGAGAGGGCGGCAGTGGAGGAAATGAAGGAAGCCTTTATGTCCTGTTTACAAACACCACTTCTGACACCAAATGTGTGTGGGTTTTCTCCACTCCGACCAATTCTCCCTCCCTCTGGACACCAACTGGGTGTCCTGTGACTCAACTCAATTCTGACATTATCTGCGAGTTAGCACAGACCCCACAGGCTAAGGGCTCAGTCCGGCAAAACTGCTCCCACTTCAGATGCCAGGTGCAAGTCCTGGGCCTCCCGTACTTCTGCTGAGCGTCTGTGAATTGGGAGCTCCCATGCCCCTTCTTCAGGTTTGATAATTTGCTAGGATGGCTCACAGAACTCAGGGAAACACTCGATTACTTATGATTATTATAAAGGATATTTCTACAGGATTCAGATGAAGAGGTCCATTGAGTGAAGTCCAGAAGAGTCCTAGCACCAGTGTGTTCACCAACCTGGGACAGTGTGTTCCCTTCATCGTGTGGGGTTTTTATGGAGGCGTTATCACCTAGGCATGATGGATTAGATCACTGACACTAATAATTAGCTCAAGACTGAAAGTTTCAATCCTCTCATCATGC